GGAAAGAGGTTTCTTTTTTCTACCTATGGTGCTGGTTCATTAAGAGAGAACCTGCAATCTCTTGAGTTTGAGGTACTCAAAAACTTGACTAATTTTCTGCTTATTATTTCACTAAATTCAAATAACACTAAGGGACTGTTTGGAAGGCCACCCTGGTAATTGAATTTGGTGTAATTGAGTGTAATTACACCGTCTGTCCTGTTTGGTTGGCCATGTAATTACCTAGTTAGCATGTAATTGGGTGTAATTGGCAATGGGTAATTACCCTCTCCAATTCACGGGGGAGGCTGTGAATTGTTGGTTATTACATGGTGTAATTACAAATTGATTACTTTTTAATTTCTTCCCCTTTTACTTTTTTCGTTTTAATGTATTTTTTATTTATTTATATTTTAAATTATTTTTAAAATTTTATCATTCTAATGTTCTCTAAAAATATTTTATTTTTATTTAATATTATTTATATTTCATTTCCTTCTCATTCTCAACCTTTACTTCATGTGATTCCATGCAATTTTTTTGTATTATCTAAAAAAATTCATTAGTATAATTTTATTAGTATTCTAATTTTAAAATTAAAGTATAATTCATTATTGAATAAAGTTATGGACTTATGTTTTTCTTTTCTTTTAAATCATATTTATGTATGTTATGTTGAAATTTGACATAAGAGTATTATGTTAAATTTTTTGTTTTGAATTTAGAACTTATGTTGTATTTTCAATTTCATTTGTTTTAGGAGTATTGACTTGGTATTTTACATTGCAAGCTATTTTTTAAAGTTAGACTTGATAGATTATTTTTTTGTCAAATTTTTATTATTTTATGACATGATATTTATAATATTAATCTTTTTGTCAAACATGCATTTCATAGTGTTAATGGAAATTTTGTACTTTTAGTTTTTATGATTTTTTAAATTAAAATATACTAAATTGAAAAATATAAATCAATTATTTTTTATACTATTAGTTAAAAACATATGTTTATTAATTAATATATTTTTAAAAGACAATATATCTTAAATATTCAATTTATTAATATCATTTATAAAAGTCCTTATTTGTCTAATAAATTTTTTAAATTTTAAATAAATTTTTAAAATTCAATATAACCTTGTGATTACACTTGTACAACCAAACAATACACTTGTAATTACACCATAATTACACTATGGTAAACAAGCAGGTCAACGTAATTACTAGGCTGGTAATTACACCAATTCCAATTACCTGGTGGCTTTCCAAACAGACCCTAAGTACAACACTGGTGGATTAACCACCCATCTGAAGACAAGGAAATAACTTCGTACTACAGCTGAAATGAGAAAGTGGAGGAATAACCTCCTTACTGCAACAACTGCCACATAGAAATAGGAAAAATAACTAACTTAAAAGCTGTAGTAATCTACTGCAAACAATTGCTACACAGAAATAGAAATAAATAACTTATAAGTTGAAGTAATCTACTTTCTAATTTCCTTAAATCTTCCATGTGTAAACCATTGGTAGACTAAAGTGGTGCTAACAGAGCCCAAAAGCTTTGATCCATTTATGACCTGATTCCCTCTTCGTTGATGCTGCCACAGATTCTGGCGAACACCAATCAAGCGTCAAATGTCATTCATTCCAAAACCAATCCTCTGCTTTTACTCTCGATTCTTCTTGCCTGGATGGAAATTCAAAGAGGAAGTTGTGGGATATGGGAGACTCGTAGTCTTGCTATTACTTGTCTCCTCTTAACGAACCTGGGTTTGGATTATTTCAGCTTTGGGTCTATGATTGAAAGGATCATTGAAGTATCCCACAAGACACTTTGAAATGAAGGAGCTGCTTTCGTGCAAATTCTTAAGATTGTCTGGTAGTTCTTTTTGCAACAGTGGCCAAGAGGAGATCTGTGCGGCATCTAAGGACTTCTCCCAAATGTTTGAGATTATTTCGAACTTGTTGCGTGTGGCTTCACCCAACCAATTTAATATTTTCCTTGATATGTCATCGCAACCCCCACTGTAATAAGCTTCTGGAATTATAATGCCTTTTCTTCTTTCCCCTGCTATTGTTCCAACTCTGAGGTATCTGCCATATATGTTAAAATTTTGGTACACCCTGTAAATGTAAGATTGAATCTTTCTCCCCCATCTCCTGTAAAGATTCCCCTGACCTCTTGATGCCTGCTGCATTTGGGTGCATACCCATCTGAGATTTTCCTTGTCTATCTTGACCTGGCTAGTGAATTTGCGACCTCGTTCTACCCATACAAACTATCTATTTGCACCCCTCCCTTCTTCAAAGATTTTGAATGACTTATCACCTGAGACGAAAAGTATCTTCCCTCCCATTTCCGGAGAAAAAGATCTCATATTAAAGGAAGAAAAAATAGATAATAAAACCTCAAACAGCTCTTTCCAGACATCTACTTGTTGAATCAGCAACATGAGGCCACTGTGCAAGAAGTTTAGTCCATCCATGGATGGAACTTAACATACACAAGGATGATACAAGACTGGGAGGTGGCTAGACTAGCTGAATTTTATGGCACCCTGGACCATTTTGGAGGATTGAAAGAGGGAGAAGACACTCTTAGGTGGATTCATCACAGCAAAGGTATCTTCACAGTTAGCTCTACCTACAAGAACTTGAATCAAATGGGGACTCAACTCAGATTTTTGCCTTGGAAGCTTATGTGGAAAGTCAAAATTCCATATAAGGTGGCAGTCTTTACTTGGTTGGTAGTTAAAGAGGCGGTACTAACACAGGAGAATCTAATGAAGAGGGGAATACATATGTGTCGTAGATGTTTTTTTTGTGAGCAACAGGCAGAGACAATCAACCATCTGTTTCTTCATTGCAAGGTGGTTAGACAATTGTAGCACTTATTTACTAGCTTCAGGGGCACAAACTGGACCATGCCACAAAGGGCAAGTCAGGCTATAGAAAGCTGGAACATTGAAGGTAGTGGCAGTACAGACCAAAGCAGATGGAGAATTGTCCCAACAGTGATTTGGTGGACCATATGGAAGGAGAGAAATATGAGATGCTTTGAGAGTATTAGTAGTCCTTTACACAGGATTAAAATGAATTGCATAATCACTTTTTGCTATTGATGTAGTTCGGAGTATGTAGATGATCCTATAGCTGTTATAGATATCCTAGGTTCTTTGTAAGATGAAGTAGGATCTAGTTTAGTTTTGTTTTGAGTACACACAACTGTATGTAGCTCCATGATGTAAATTTGGGATCCCAGTGCTGAAGATTAATACACAAAACTGTTACCTTTGTAAAAAAAAATAGATAATAAAACAGTAAACACAGAAGGTGAAAGACTTGTGTTAGGAAGATAGAGGTTCAGATTCCGGCGACGGCATTGGAAAGGGACTTCCTATAATCCTAGAAAATAGGAGAGAGAGTATTTTGGGTTTCGTGCTTGAGAGAAAACATTACCCATTTCATCAGGCTTCCGTTTATTTGCAAGGAATTGTTATTTTGCCTCTGTCATTCTTTATATACTATGCTCATTATTTTACTTTTTACATACCTTTACTTTTGAATGGAGTTTACTTCAGTCATTAGATAATGAAGTTAAAAAGTGAGAGAAGTGGAGATTACCTTGAGGGCAGTGTTTTGGACGGCGAGAGGTGACAAGGGCCTGCCTCTCCACACGGCGAGGCGCTCACCTTTTTGAATTGAGGCGCCAATTAATGCAAAAAAATGTAAAATATTTAATAGCATATATAAATATCCAAAATCTCAATAACAATAACATTCATTAGCAATGTCCCTCTTTTTGTTAGCATCTCACGTCATTGAATTCACTATTTATGGACAAATAAATACTATATTAATTAGTATAAAACTAAATTAAGTAGGGAAGAAATAATTATAGAAGAATCAAATTTTTTTTTTTTTTAAATATAGGCAGATTCCAGCCCAGTGAGCATAGCACTACAGTCTACCACAGAAGTACAAAACCAAGCATAGTCCCAAACTCTAAATACTGAAAAACAGAGTAGTTCCACCCAAAAAAAAATAGAGTAGTTCCACAAAAAAAAAACAGAGTAGAGACTAGAGAGTAGAGAAGAAGAAGAAAAGAAGAGAAGAACTAGAAGAGAAGAAGAGAAGAACTAGAGGTAAGATTTCGTACCTGAGAAGGAGCAGCAGTCGCGATTGCGATTCGCGAAGAAGAAGTCTCCACGAAGGAGAAGCAATCGCTAAATAGGAGGAGAAGAGGAGGAGCGTCTTGCGAAGGTCAAGTTTGCAAAAATACCCAAAAAAAACCCTAATTTTGGCTTTTATTTATTAAGTCAGACCTTAAAAAAAATAAAAAAATAAAAAGGCGACGCCTATTGCATCGCCACACCACGTCATCTTACGCCTTTCTGTCGCCATGGCACGCCTTTCTGAAGTCGCCTCGCCTCGCCGTAAAAGGCGATGACCCCTCTCCTCACCTCGCCTTGTCGCCAAAGGCGAAAGGCGAAAGGCGAGCGCCTTTCATAACACTGCTTGAGGGGGACAAGATATACTCTAATTACAAAAATCAGTAGGTCAATGCGTTTAATTGTAGAGTGGAGGTAGCATCTCCGTGAGATAGAGAATAAAGAGGGTATTTTATCTGCTCATGTAACACAATCTAATTCAGAAATTTCACTCAATTGACCATGTTTTGCTATATATACTATTACAGTAGCAGGATCACTATAACTGACACCATTGAGTTGAACGCGATAAGGTTACATAAGTCAGTTTTGAAGGACTGTATGTGAGTTTGCTGTGGAAATATCTGCATTTTAGGTTTTTCTGTTTGCATAGTGGGTTTTGGTAACATAACATCCAGTAGCAAGTATTGCATGAGTGGGACACTTGAAAACGAGACATCTCAATTTGTTTTATGTATGTTTTTGTTTTCTCATGCACTTAAGTAATTTCTTCATTTTTTTTTCTGAGACTGAAAACAGTTAAATAATTTCTTCACATCCCCAACTACTACTTTATGATTGGCTTTAGGCAGAGACAGAGCGGGAAGCGGGAGTGAATAAGGGTGTTTCAGATAAGCAGATACGTTTGAAGATTTTCTCACCAAATGTTCTTGATATTACTCTTGTGGATTTGCCGGGCATAACAAAGGTCCCTGTTGGTGACCAGCCTTCTGATATTGAAGCCCGAATCAGAACTATGATAATGTCTTATATTAAACTTCCAAGCTGCTTAATACTAGCTGTAACACCTGCTAATGCTGACTTAGCCAACTCAGATGCTCTTCAGATTGCTGGAAATGCTGACCCGGATGGTATGTCCCAACTATATGATTTCTCTAGGTGATTTTAGTTGCCTCTGAGGTTCTCTTATTTGAGGGTTTCTTCTTGCAGGTTATCGGACCATTGGAGTAATCACAAAGGTCAGATTGATTGAAAATAAAATTCTTTTCTTTTGTGTGTTATGTGTTTGTATTCATTGTTGGTTTTCGTTGACCGAATTTTCTTTCTTTCCTCAGTTGGACATCATGGATAGGGGCACTGATGCTCGTAACTTTTTACTTGGAAAAGTGATACCCCTTCGTCTTGGTTATATTGGCGTTGTGAATCGCAGCCAGGAGGTAATATTCAACTTGACATTATGGAAAAATAGTTAAACTTGTTAGCGTGATTTTATTGCAGATGGGCCAGTTAACTTGTCTTCATAAACTATAGTATCATTTCCATTTAGAACAGTTTCTTGATTTGAGCTCCCTTGGAGATTTCATGTTTATGTTTTGGAGTTTCTCTTCATTTTGTACCTATTATTTTCACAACTTCTATTTTACAGGCATTTGACATGTTTCTATTCCGTCTTTGTAGTGGCATTTCCGCTCCATGTTCTCTAACTAGCCCATTTGTCCTCATTCATTAGCAATTTTTCTTTAGGGCTGTGGTTTCTTCCTTGATAGTGCTTGTGTTCATTCTTGTGATATTTTAACTGATATCTTTACTTGGTGCCTTGACCTGTTGTCTAGGTCTCCTCAGCATTACGGTAGTTTAAACTTTAGGCGAAGAGATGCTAGGTTTAAAAGTATGGTGCTTTACACGTGATTCAAAACTTTCATCCTAGTAATCTCTTCAACATGATACTATAATTTTTTTTCTTTGAAACTGATCTGGTTTGATATGATTATAAACCCTATGCAACTATCCGTTAAAAAAAAAAATCCTATGCAGCTAATTGTGTATATTGATTGACAATATTCGGTAACGTCGGCAGTATAATTATGTGTCAAATACTTTTAATTGCATACTTTCTTTCAGTCTGAAGATTCATCACTATTAAGGTCGTATTCTCACGTAGTAGTAACTTGGTGTTTGGCTTCTAGCATTATATTTGCTTTTTCTTTATTATAACATTGCATATGGTTCCCTTTTTTTTTGCGGGGGAGGGGGGTGGGGGGGAAGGGGGGGAATATGGTTAAACACACAAGTGCTAGAAGTAACTTGGTGTTTGGCTTCTAGCATTATATTTGCTTTTTCTTTATTATAACATTGCATATGGTTCCCTTTTTTTTTGCGGGGGAGGGGGTGGGGGGGAAGGGGGGGAATATGGTTAAACACACAAGTGCTAGAACGAAGCAACAAATGAAATGAACGATAATGAAGTTTAGAAGGATGTACAAAATGCCTAACAATAAGGCTCTTTTGTAGGGGTAAAAACTATAGACCTTTTCGTTTGGATGACTGTGGTGTCTGAACCAGCTTGGGCACTCCTCAACTGTTCTTTTGGGTATTTGCTATTTCCCAGCGGAGCAAGCATTCGGTGACTCGTTGAACCTTGACTGAGGTTTTCACCGAATTCATTGACGGCTAGGCCATACCCTTGGAGGCAGTAATAACCATGCCAACTCTTTGATCCCACTTATGCACGCCCTTTGTTGTACCTATAGGGAAGAAATATAAGGCATTTTAATTTCAGCTTATGTGTAGGCAAAATAAGGTCACTGAAGCCTTGGTGGACAGAGTTACCTGGTATCTTGCCGGCGGGAGGTAGCAAGTACCTGTCGAATTAGTCGAGGTGCGCAAAAAATAGCTTGGATGCTACAGTTATATCTCACACCTATTAAAGTTTATGTGATTTTAACGTTTGTATAAATTGATTGGGAACACACGTGTCGAGAAACTAATATACATGTGTGTGTATTCACAATCCGTCATGTACATGCATGTTTGTATCTATATCTATTACAATACTATTCTAAACGTGGGAAGATTAAAATGAGAAGTTGATTGGCCAAAGTGTCCATATAAAGCTCAATGTCCTTTTTATCCTTTGAATTTATGTTACTTCAAGAATTCACATACTAATTAACAATTCTTTTTTTACTAAAAATATAATAATAAATTAATAACTTTTAGTTATTATTCTAATTAATATGAAGAACATGGAAAGGTAATACTATTTATCTATCCCTTTGAACAAGAGATAAGAAATATCAACAAAATTCTTTCGAAAATATATTTAGATTATTGAAGCTTGCATTATGCTCCCAGGCACCAATCCCGAGGTCTTTTAACCCCCAACCAGACTCTTTTTCCCCCCCTCCGGTGGTCAGAAACCTACCAGTCCCTTCTTCCTTTCTTTCCAAGCTTTAGTCGATGGAGAATATCATATACTTCGCAGTGGGTTTCAAATCCTTTGACATCGAAAAGATCTCAGGGATGACAGGGATTTGGTACGAGTGGACTGAAAGAAACAGAAAAACCATTACAAGGACTTCCTTCAGCAAGAGATCCATGGAATGGATAGTCCAAATTCTCAGAGAAGCATCTAAGACGCAAGGAAACATAGTTCGTAGATGGAAGAAGACAGAAGCTTTGTCGGAGATCTTTTGTGCGCGGAACTACAATAAGTTTGGAAGATACATCAGCCTTATAAATTTAAGGGGGAAAAGGAAATCAGTTCTCATTATTCCAGAAATGACTCTCAACTCTGGATGGGTGGATAAAGCAGAGAAGCTGACAAGATTCATTAGCACACACAGGATGAAAAATGTCATTGAGGAATATAGGCTAACTGATAGCAATATTCCTCATGCAGAGATAGTCAGAAGCTTTAAATGGGCAAACAGAGATGGGAAAGACTCGAAGGTTGACTTTACAGTTAAAAATGGAGGAGTAATCAGCATTAAAGACTCCTTAATAACTCAAAATGAAGTTTTGAAGAGAAGTTTGGTGGGTGAATTTAATGCCTCTGTAGTCCTCTCTGAAGTCAGAAGGTGGGCTTCTAGTCTCTGGAAACAAGCACACGACTTAAATATTTATGAAATGGGGAATGGAATGTTTCTGTTTGAATTTAATTCAAAAATGACTGCAGAACAGGTCATGGAGGGGGATTGGCACTGGTTGAAAACTCCAATAAGGCTACAATGGTGGAATCCCTTAAGTGGAACCATTGAGAAGAAGAATGGGCCTGACACAACCTGGGTCAAGATAGTGGGGCTCCCACTCCACCTATGGACTCACAAGGTCTTCAAATCAGTAGGTGACCACTGCGGGGGATGGGTCGAAACAGAGGAGGAAACAAGTATTCGCAATCATCTGAAATGGGCAAGACTCAGGATCCGTGGTGACGGCAGTAACATTCCGAGGGAGATAAAGATCGAAAATGGTGGACTGGTCTTCACGATGCAAATCTAGGTCGAAACTCCGGTGAAAGTGGAGGCCGGAGAAGATAAGCAAAATAGGTCCTTTAACCAACAGATATTGGGGGATAATCCAATGGGTAAAAGGTCTGATGAGGCTATGAGGCTACAGATATAGTACAGGGGGACAAGGCTAGGGTTGAGTCAAACCCTAGGCCATGTGCAATTGCTGGCACTAGTGGGGTCCAACAACTTTTGTCTTTAACTAATAAAGCACAAATTCAATCTGTTGAAAGAGAAATATTGGGCCCAAAAGAATCATTGGGCCATAACCCTACTGAAGTGAATTTAACCCCACTTATTTTAAAGGGAAAGTCACGTGAGGCACATGAGGATTCACTTAGTGGACTTAAAAACATAAAAGAACTAGCTTCACAGTTCTTAGAAGCCTTCAGAGCTTGGGAGTTCTCTCCAGATTTAAATGTGACGGAGAACATGGCATCACAAGTAGCACCGGAGGAAAATTCTCTCATGCAAGCTAAGGAAAGGATAGAATCCAGCATAAATAACGACATGAGCAGAAGAGCTGAGAATGAGTACATATCTATGGATCAGACTCCACCAGAAACAAGGGAGACAGACTTGCAGATTCAGCAAATATTATATGCAGAACCAGTGGCCATGCAAAATTTGGCTGAATCAGAAACAACTGAGATTGAAGCACCAAGCTGGGTGAACTCACACATACTGGAACTGAGCAACACCTATGGGGTAGCCTTTGAGGGGTTTGAGAAGGAAGCACTAGCATTGCTCATGAGAATTGATGAGAGGAAATCGATGCTAGACAACAAAGGGAAAGAAATAACCACCACAACTCCAAAGAGCAGGGGGATAGGGAAAAATGAACTTAAGAACCTTCAATCTAGCCTAAACAAAGAGGTGGATGGGATCAGAAACAGGGGAAGGGTGCTCAGTTTAACATTTAAATGAATATAAAACTTCTCTCATGGAACGTAAGGGGTCTTAACAACATCTCCAACAAGAATATTGTTAAGACATGTTTGCAGAAATGGAAAGTGGATGTGGTTTGTCTTCAGGAGACAAAGTTAAATAAAGGAATAGAGGAGATTGCTAAACAGTTATGGGCATGTAGATGGATGAGATGCGGCTACATAGAAGCAGATGGAAGCAAGGGGGGAATCCTAATCATGTGGGATAGTAGAACATGGGCAGGCACAAAGGTGGAGGAGGGGAACTACTCAATTACTTACAAGTTTGAATCAATACAAAACTCTTTCTCATGGTTCTTTACTGGAGTATACGGCCCACATAGCAGAAGTGAGAAGTTAGAGTGTTGGGAGGAAATGGCAGCAATGAAGGAACTGAGTGAAGGCCCCTGGGTCACCAGCGGGGACTTTAACACAGTCAGACACATGGAAGAAAGAAGAGGGTGCACTAGAGTCACCAATATCATGACTGATTTCTCCAAGTGGATTGAAGACTTGGAATTACATGATCCAGAACTATTTGGGGGGAAATACACTTGGTTCAGAGGATCCTATCACCAAAGTGGTGCAAGACTTGACAGATTCCTATACTCCATGGAGTGGGAGGAGTGTTTCAAAAATATCAAACAGAGCATCCTGCCTAGAACAGTCTCTGATCACAGCCCAGTACTATTAGAATGTGGGAACTGGGAACATAGGCAATCCTATTTTAAATTTGAAAACTGGTGGCTCAAAGTGGATGGTTTCAAGGAGATGGTGCAGGGGTGGTGGAGTGGCTTTGTTGTAGAAGGGTGCCCTGACTACAGACTTAACAACAAGCTAAAGATGCTGAAACAAAAGTTGAAAGAATGGAGCAAACAAACCTTCAATGAAAGAACCAGAAGGAAAAATAGCCTACTAGAAGAATTGTCTGAGTTGGACAAAATCCAAGAAGAAAGAGAACTGTTTGAAGATGAAGTGTTGATAAGAGCAACAATACTTGTGGAGCTGGAAGTATTAGCAAAGCAAGAAGAAGCCAGCTGGAGGCAGAAATCCAGAGCTTTGTGGTTGAAACAAGGAGACAATAATACTAAATTTTTTCAAAGAGTAGCTACAGCCCGCAGGAGATATAACACAATTGACAAACTATTGGTGAGAGGTGAGGAAACCCAGGATCCTAAAGAAATTAAGGAAGCCATGATTGAATTTTACTCCAAGCTCTACACAGAACCTGAACCATGGAGACCTTCCTTTGAATTTAGAGGATGCCCAACAGTCTTAGCTGAAAAAAATAGTGGTTGCAAAGGCCTTTCACAGAAGAAAAAGTACTACAGACCATTAAGTAGTGTGATGGTGACAAAGCTCCAGGTCCTGATGGTTACACCATATCTTTCTTCAAGGAGTGTTGGGATATTCTTAAGGAAGATCTCATGCATACTATCCACAATTTCCACATGAGGAGCTTCTTTGAGAAATCCTTTAATGCTACTTTCATAGCTTTGATCCCAAAGAAACCTGAGGCAATGGAATTAAAGGATTTCAAACCGATCAGCTTAATTGGAGTGGTGTACAAGATCATTTCTAAGCTAATCACCGAAAGATTGAAAATAGTTATAGGGAAGCTGGTTGATGGAAATCAAATGGCATTCTTGAAAGGAAGGCAAATCATGGATGCTGCTCTGCTGGCTAATGAAATGGTTGACTCTAGGGTAAAACAGAAGAAACCAGGCATCCTATGCAAGCTAGATATTGAAAAGGCTTATGATCATGTTAATTGGAATTTTTTGCTAAAAATTCTGAAAGACATGGGTTTTGGAGAGAAATGGATTGGCTGGATACAGTATTGCATCTCAAATGTAAGATTCTCACTCATTATAAATGGTAAGCCTGAAGGATTTTTTCAATCGCATAGAGGTCTTAGACAGGGAGACCCTATGTCACCTTTTTTGTTCCTATTAACTATGGAGGGTCTGAACCACATGTTCAGAACAGCAAAGGTAAATGGTTGGATAAAAGGGTTCAATGCTCAAATAGGGAGAGGTGATGATCTGGAAATTACACATCTTTTCTATGCAGATGATGCCCTGGTTTTTTGTGAAGCAGAAGTGGCACAAATCAGACACTTGAGAGCAATCCTTACAATATTTGAGGGCATTTCAGGGCTTCATGTTAACTAGTCGAAAAGTTTCCTCTTCCCAATTAATCAGGTAGACAATATACAAAGTCTAGCTGAGAATTTGGTATGTCAGATAGCTTCTCTGCCCACGAAGTACCTGGGGTTGCCTTTGGGGGCCAAAAATAAGGAGTTGGAGGTATGGAATGAGGTGATGGAGAGATGTGAGAAAAGACTCTCAAGATGGAAAAGCCAGTACCTATCACTGGGGGGTAGGTTGACTCTCATCAAGTCAGTTTTAGATGGGTTACCTACCTACATGTTGAGTCTATTTCCAATACCCAAGAGCATTGTGAAGAAAATCAACAGAATGAGGAGATCCTTCATTTGGCAAGGGAACAAAGAGAAGAAAGGCTACAACCTGGTGAAATGGGAGACACTCACTTTGAGCAGAAAACAAGGTGGCCTTGGCATGAGAAATCTTAGCATCCAGAATAATTGCTTGCTACAAAAATGGCTATGGAGATTCTGTACTGAAGATGGAGCCCTATGGAGAAGATTCATAGCAGGGAAATATGGCTTGTTTAGCCAATGGACCACTGAGGAGGTGATGGGGTCGTTTGGATGCTGTGTGTGGAAGACCATCAGAAGGTTGTGGCCACAGTTCAATAACAATATTTATATTAGTGTGGGCAATGGTCTGAAAACAGATTTCTGGAATGAAATCTGGAAAGGGGATGATAGCCTGAGGAACTTATTCCCAAACCTCTACACCTTGAGCTTACAAAGATCTGCTACTGTTGCTCAAGTATGGAGCCAACAAGGGTGGAACTTAGTGTTCAGGAGGGCTTTGAATGACTGGGAAATTGAGGATGTGGCCAAGCTACTAGAGGTGCTAAACACCCCTCCAGCCATATCTCAAAGAAAGGATAAACCAATTTGGAAGTTACATAGCAAAGGAATGTTCACAGTCAAATCATGCTACTGGAGGATAAATGTCAATCAGTCAGTGACTAAAAAATGGCCTTGGAAGCTAGTGTGGAAGACAAGAAGCCCATTAAAAGTAGCATGTTTTGTTTGGTTGGTCATAAGAAAAGCTTGCCTTACACATGAGGCATTACAAAAAAGGGGGATGCAGTTTTGCTCAAGATGCTTTATGTGTGAGCAGAAAGTAGAAGTAAATAATCATTTGTTCATTCACTGTAAAGCAGCTTCAAAATTGTGGAATATGTTTTTGTGTATACTAGGGGTTAGCTGGGTGATGCCAAAGACAACCATGGAGCTCCTTAATAGCTGGACAAGAATTGGCAACAGAGGGAAAAGTGAAGATTGGTGGAAGACTATTCCAGCCTGTATATGGTGGACTCTATGGAAAGAAAGGAATGCTAGGTGTTTTGAAGGACAAAATGATAGTTTTCAGAAGATAGAAATGAAATGTTTAAGTCTTTTATTTTTTTGGTGTAAGCAAGAGTTGGTAGGGGAAAGCATAGAGATGGTCGATTTTAAAGGAAACTTGTAATTCCATATGGCTTTTTGAGGGTGTGCCCACCACCCTGTGGGATGTAAGTTTCCAATTCATCATCCCTTGGATGATGAATTTTTTGTGAATACAAAGTTACCCTTATCTCAAAAAAAAAAAGAAATAATGAATTGGCAGCTACTCAATTTGGTGACTTCTGGAATCCTGCAACATCAATAAGTTAATTGTTATTTAGCACTGAAGATACAAAAGTGGGAGTGATATATAAATTTATGAATTTATCACCAACAACTCTACCTGCTAACACCATGTTTGGGGTGTGAGATTTGTGCAAGTAGATCAAAGAGACCAAAACATATATCTTCGCCTGTGGGAACACAACCATAACTATGCAGTACAATCAGATTGAATAACCTACTTGAACACTTGTGTCTTGTGGCATAATGAAGTATAAATTGTTGCGATTCTTGAATTGTGCTTTTGAGCTACTTTGCCTTTGCTTTTCCGCTGGATTTTTAGAAATGGTAAATCTTAACATTTTGATAAATGTTTTGAAATCCAAAAATGTAATATTCTTATAGTACTTTGATTTTCTTTTTCCAGTTTGTCTTTGATAATTAATTTAGTTTAAAATATTATGAACTCTACGAATAAATTGATGGTTTAAGAATGAAATGTGTGCAGGCTCTCAAGTCTCTATATGCTCCTGGTAGACCAAGATGTAATTAGCTAAAAAAACTTTTAACCCTTGCTCTTTTACTTGCATTCCTTGATGCTATTGGCTATCCTTTGATATCTTAAGCTTTTTGTGAATAAGACAAATGCGTGTGATATTAAGTGTATGGAGATTATAGGGAGAAATACATGTGAAGAACCCAAACACGAAAGTATGCTATTTAATCGAGGAAGGTGGCAGTGCCATAGTGGAATGGAACATCAATAAATTACTTTTCTCAGACTCATGGTGTGTTTAAATACGAAAAGTATGTGCCTAGGGGAAATTGCTATAAGTACACAGTCACATTCTTACTATTCATCAATTTAAACTTGCATCTTTCCTTTCAAATTTGGTGGAACTCATCGGACATATTCTAATATTGCTTGTATCATTTTAAAATGTTTATACTCATTGACATGGAATACATGTGATTAGATACTAGTGTCTATATATGTACTTGAGTCGGGTGGTTACAGGACATAAGCACACATCAAATACACACATTAGTGGTTTCTGGGCCTATAATTGTCTAAATTGTTTGACTGAATCATTTATACAGGATATTAGGATGAACCGGAGTATTAAGGATGCACTTATAGCTGAGGAAAAGTTCTTCCGAAGTCGTCCTGTATGTTGGTACCATCTTTTGTTATTAGTTAATTTCAGTCTCTATGATTTAAGTATCTCATGTTTGATCTCTTCTCTTGTGTAGGTATATAGTGAACTTGCTGATCGTTGTGGTGTTCCTCAATTGGCAAAAAAGTTGAACCAGGTAATTGGTGATTAGTCCAAGAATCAGTGTAGTTTCTATATGCAATAAACTGGTTATGGGTTTGTCATATACACGAAAAGTCCTTTATAACATTCAATTTTTTTGAAATGTCGGAAACGTAAGCAAGTTTGTCGTATATATCTTAAATTGAAAAGCTTATGGATTTCGATCTTCTACTTCATTTCATTGTTAAAATTGGAATTGGACATTTGAACTGGGAAAAAATTGTGTTCTGAAACATCTTTAATTTAAAGCACTAGAGATACTCTTTCCCCGTGGTTCTAGAAATACAAGCAAACTTCTTGGGTATAGGAATGGCGTGTTTGTGCTAGTGGACATGAGAGTGAACCACTCTGAAATATCTGTGGCGAGTAGCTCTCATAAAAGAGTTCTTTCGTAAGTTGCCTGAGCTGTGGGATTGTGGCCTTCTTTATTATGTTCTGAATTGAGAGCCGGATTCAACAAAACAACTCTTTCATCTCTAAACACAAGCTTACTTGGTAAGAATTGTGTTAGGGACCCAATAAATTAATAAAGAAAATCAAGAACTTAATACTAGAAACTGAAAACACTGAAAATAAAGATAGAATAAATTCGAAAACAAGTTTCTTGAACTCGAGAATGGATCAAGAATTAATTAGTAGCTTCAAGCCAAGTCTAAATCTTAAAAGTTACTTTGAACAACAATAATTAGCCCAAACTAATCGCCTTTAGTAGATAATAAATCAAAGAGATTAATTATGCTCCCCCTCCCCCTTCCAAACCCAAATAACAAGACAAATAGACAATAGTAAGTACATACTTATCGCTTTCTTGAATACCTAAAAGTAATAGATGATTGGAAAATTCGTTACCATTTTCAAAAAAAATATATGATTGGAAAATTTTTAACTTGCCACCTTAAGTTGATTCTTGAAGGTTGAATATTAAATCCCACACATAAGTGCAAAATGGAAACTCTTAGTTTTATTACTCCCTCCGTCTCAATTTATGTGGCACCGTTTGACATGACACATAGCTTAAGAAAGATAGGAAGACTATTGAAGTTTGTGGTCTAAAACACTCCTGGACCATTTTTGTGGCTATCTAGTGAAGTGGAAAGTAGTGATAACTGGCAAGAAGGTAGGGGTATGAGGATAAAGAACTTGAAGGTGCAGAGTAAAGCACTCTGAATGAAGTGGTTGTGGAAGTTTGCCAATGATAATCAAATGCTATGGAATAGGGTAATAAGTGTAAAATATGAAGGTGAAGATATGTGGACGGCTAAAGTGACTACACCTTATGGAGTGAGTTTGTGGAGATCAATAAGGGACATGTGGGATGAGGTTAGGAGTAATGCAATTATCAAAGTTGTAGATGGAAGCAAGACAAGTTTCTGCAAAGATGAATGGTATGAAAAGGGAAACTTGGAAGTACTTGTTCCTAACATAAACAATATAGTTCTGGGACAGAAAAATGCTATAGCGGAGTTGTGGACAAATCAGGGCTGGAGCTTTAATTACGAAAGACAAATTCAATGATTGGGAAATAGCAAAAGTGGTAGAATTTGTCAACACTGTGGAAGATTTTAATGGGCTACAAACAGGGGAAGATGTTATGTGGTGGAACAGAATTAGTAGAGGGGAATTCAAAGTTAACTCAACCTTCAAGTTGATGGATCAGACAAATCCACAAACCCACAATTGGCCATGGAAACAAATATGGAGAAATAGATTACCTCATAATCTCATGCTTCATATGGTTATTGGCCAAAGAAGCTGTTCTGTCTCGAGATAACTTGATGAAAAGAGGGATAACCTTATGCTCTAGTTGTTTCCTGTGTGGGGAGTCATTAGAGACAGTGAACCATGTGTTCCGACACTGCAAGTATACCCAACAACTATGGAGGATTTTTTTGAATCTCAAAGCATCTCGTGAACCATGCCTAGGAAGGTCTTAGAGGTTTTGAAGAGTTGGGAGGCAGCAGGGGTGAATGCAAAGGACAAAAACAGATGGAGAATTATTCCTGCGAGTATATGGTGGACTATTTGGAAAGAAAGCAATATTAAGTATTTTGAGAGCATAGAGAATGATGCCCAGAAGGTCAAGTTAAACTGCATTTTATTGTTATGTTTTTGGTGCAATCAATTATACTCCAATGATAATGTATCGGTAAGTGATCTTTTAGACTCAATATAGACTGAAAACAATGGAAAAGGAGACATCTGTTTATTTGGTTTCAGTATAACCCATTTACTGTTTTGTGATATAATAGAAACTTACCTATTTCCCAAAAAAAATCATATCTTTAAGGGTATAAGGGAAATTTTGAAGTTAAGTTATTTTCAATTATAGAAAAGTGATACTTTTTTGGGATGGACTAAATGGACAGTGTACCACATAAATTGGGACAGAGTGAGTAATAATAGACTTGAAGATGACTAGCTCTTCCCACTATCTTGGATGCCACTCTTGTGTGATTTTTGAGAATCATTGAAGACAACTTGAATGTGCATGACTTGGACACCAAGTTTGCTCCTTTGATGAACCTCTTTGTTGACTCTTTGGGACTATTTTGGCGCCTCCTTTAGCCTTTTAGTTGTTGAGACTTGGTTTGCTATCTGTTTCATCTAGGACTTCATTAAAGTAGTTGAACTTTAATAAATTATATTTGGGTTTGAGCTCTTCCTCCCAAAAATTAAGCACTTTTTTGTTTGCAAAATGAGTCCACTAAGCTAGTCTTAGAGTTCCAAAGCTTCATCCTCATCCGTTCATTGAGTTAGGCTTCTATTCTATGGATGCTATATTTGGTCACATTCTTTTGTGTGCAACTAGTCTTGCCTTATATGATTAGTTTACTATCCCACTAACCCCTCTCGAAGCAAGTTCCATTTGGTAAATTGAGATATTGTCACGACACCAAAGCACTGTATAGCTTGTTTGGCCAAGCTTATTTTTCCCAAAACTGTTTGTTTTCTCTAATAAGTGCTTATTTTTAAAAAGTGAGGTGTTTGGCCAAGTTTTTAAGAGAAAATGAGTGTTTCTGGGGTAGTAACACTAGTTTTTCAGAAGCTAAAAAAGTAGCTTTTGCCTAAAAGCACTTTTTGAAAAACATTTTAAAGAAAAATACATTGAAAAGTACTTTTAAAAAGTTTGGCCAAATGCCCAAACACTAATTGTTGTTCAAAAGTGTTTTTTAAATTTATTGGCCAAACACAAACTACTTCTTACCAAAAGGTTTTGTTTTTAAAAGCACTTTTCAAAATAAGTTCATTTTAGAAGCTTGACCAAACATGCTAGTAGTGGACTTGGAATTAGAGATCAAAGGGTCTTTAATAAGACACTATTTGGAGAGGGTTCATGGAGATTTGGAGTTGAGGAGAATGCCTTTTGGAGAGGTAATTGTAGAGAAATACAAGGTTTTGGGATGGGTATAGAGGACCCAAAATATTTCACTTCACTATGGGTATGGGTTATGAAGGAATGTTTTAAAGGAGTGGGAAGAGTTTAATGGAAATGTATCATTTGAGGTGGGTGATAGAGTAGGGTAGGCTTTTGGGACCTATATAGTGTGAAAGTAACATTTTGAATATAACTTTTCCTAGCATGTACACAATTTCATGTCAAAAGAAAATGTTAATCAAATGCATACAGAGGCTTCAAGTTTGGAAAAGTTCATTGGGATATTAGGGTTCCAATTTGCCATAGAGGAACTGCTTCCTGCGTCTACGGCCATTGCAACTAAACTAACAGAGGGATACTTGCAAGACTAGGAAATCACATATTTCTCGAGTTTGATGGAGTTGCTCCACAAACAAAATATTTCATAGTTTAGCCTTTATTTTTGGACATGGGCAGAGGTTAATAATGATGTTTTCCTGTTAGATCCTATTATGCAAAGCTATTGAGTAGAACAAAGGAAGACTTCCCTCATCTCTTGATATGGATTCCTAGGGTACCAAGAAAGATGTGTTTCTTTACTTGGTAGTTGTGAGGGGTATGATTCAAACAATTGAGAATTTGAAGAAGAGGATAATTACATGTGGTAGTTGGTGCTTCATATGCAATAGACCCGGAGAAGATGCAGATAACCTTCTATTACATTGTCAATATGCATCCTCCTTGTGGTGGGAAGTTTAAGGATGGTTTGGCCTTCAATGGATGGTGTCAAGCACAATTAAAGAGGCAATGTTTACTTGGACTTTCATAAAGCAAAAAAGACTTCTTAGGCCATGGGATCTCGCTCCACTAACAGTTATGTGGACCATTTGGAGAGAGAAATAGGAGGGTTTTTGGAGAAATAAAGAAAGACTTTGTACATCTAGGAAGTAACTTTTTTTCTCTCATTGTTTTTGGTGCACCCATGAGATACCTTTGAGCATAGAGGATTGGGCATCTTTAGTGAAGAATCATAACTTTTTGTGAGGATGCTCTACCTTTTGGTATGCTTCTTTTATACGGGTATTTATGCTCTTCATTAATTAAATATTTTTAATTCATTAAAACATATCTGCATTGTGATGGTTAAATATTTTGTTAAATAAATGACTCTTTTTTGACAAATCAATTATCTTTTATAAAATCACGCCTAGATGGTGCTATCTTTACAAGTTGCATGTACAGTAGGCATTAGGCTTCCCATAGGCAAAATGAATACACAATGGTATTTCCTCTTATACCTTAAGTATATATGAGCAAAAGAGAGCTTTAGAGTATTGAGATGGATTTTTGACTTATCCCAAGTTGTATTATTCCTCATGTTTTCTTGCTACTACCTTTGGTTGCACTACCCCTTGTTTGTTCCAAAAAGTAAAATGTTTCTTGCTTTCAATTGTTTTTCCCAGCAAAAATAATTTCGCATAGTCCTCCCAGTATCTATCTTGGGTTTTTGCTAGGTGCTTCAAGCATATTTGGATCCGGTAATACAAAGGATTGAGAAGAGACCCGCAGGGTGATGGAGAAGGTATTTGTCTAAATGTGAAAAAGTAGTACTTATAAGAGTGCCATATCGAGTCCCACACATATTTTGTCATTGTACCATGCTCTGGTTAGTGTCGTAGGAAAATTTAAAAAAGCTTCAAAGAACATTTTATGGGGATCGATTGTTAAGGCAAGGAAGCTTCACTTGATGAGGTGGGAGATTATAAGAAGTCCCAAGTATTGGGGGGAGGGTTGGGAGTCAAAATCTTAGGTTAGGAAAATAGTTGTGGAGATTTGTGACCAAAGAATATTATTTTTTAAGGGAGGTGATTGTGGTTAAAAATATTTTTATGCCATAAGGTTGTTTAGGGAGCAATATTTTTGAAGGGTGGGAAGAGTTTTGTGTCTTCGTTGACCTTAAGGTTTGGGGATGGAAGGAGTGTAAGTTTTTGGGTGCACAAATGGTGTGGGTTCTTTAAATATTCTCCTTTGCAAAACTTGTACAGGATATCTTGCCAAAGGGAGATGACAGTTATACAAGTGCCTAAAAAACTAGAGGGAGAGGTGTTTTGGGATTTGTGTTTTAAGAGAAATTTGCATGCCCCCAGAGATGACATAGTTCCAAAGTTTGATTGAATGGCTCCACAAACAGTACATCACAGGAAAGTTGCGATGTTTGGAGGTGGATGTGAGTTATAGTGATGTTCTATGTTAAGTTTTTTTACGTTAAGCCTTTTATATAGGGAGGAGGATGCGTTCCGACATATCTTGATTTGGATCCCTAAAGTTCCTAGGAAGGTATTTTTTTCCCACTTGGCGAGCAGCTAGAGGGGCGCTATTGACGACTGAAAACTTGATGCGGAGGAAAAATCACTTAGTCATCTATTGCTTATGTGTAAGAGTTTGGGTGAAGATGTTGATCATCATCTCATGCATTGTCTAGTGGCCCGGAGGTTGTGGTAGGAATCCTTTGTTGGTTGGAGTTACTTGGATGATGTCGGGTCCTGTGGAAGAAGTATTATTCAGCAGGAATATTGGTAAAAGAAGGAAAAGACTCATGTAGTGGAATGTGTGGCGCTGTTTGCACTTATGTGGGTTGTGTGGAGGGGAAGAAATATGAGAAGTTTTGAGGGTGTAGATGAGTACTGTTAAACTGAGGAGAGCCTTTTGTCCCTTACTTCCTTTTGGTGCACCCATGATATTCCATCTTCTATAGAAGATTGGGTGTCGTTGGTAGAAAACCATTACATTATGTAGGTTTGCTACATTTTCATTACTTCTTGTATATGGGCGATTTTCTTTGCCCTTCCATAAATGAAATTATTACTTAGTAAAATAAGTAGATGACAATATTCTACAATGCAACTTCATGTTTGCAACTTCTTTTTTTTACGCAGATTCTAGTGCAACACATCAAGACAGTTCTTCCAGGATTGAAATCACGCATTAGTGCTGCATTGGTATCTGTTGCAAAGGAGCATGCCAGCTATGGGGAGATCACAGAGTCCAAGGTTTGTTCTGCCATATTGCTCATCTTTACCATGCATAGACCTGAACTATTGCTAATTTGTTGCGATATTACAACAGGCGGTTGATATCGGATTTTTTTCATGGTAGATTTTCTGTTACTTATTCACCTTAGCTTACCCTTATCGTGTGTTGACATTATTTTCCTCCCAATCTAGGCTGGTATGGGAGCACTTCTACTGAACATTCTTTCCAAGTACAGTGAAGGTAATGTTGTCTCAAATTTGTTGAATCTCATTGAAGTATAGATTCTCATCTCTCTCTCTTTTGGGGTTCGAGAACAGCGTTCTCTTCAATGATTGAAGGAAAAAATGAAGAAATGTCAACGTCTGAGCTGTCTGGTGGAGCAAGAATTCATTACATCTTCCAGAGCATATTTGTGAAGAGTTTGGAGGTGCACATCTTTCTTATCAACTTGAGAATGCCAATCTATATTTTTTCTAACTTGGAGAAATTTTTTCTCTAAACCTGAGTATTCATCCAAGTGATATTTAGTAGTATTTGTCAATGTATATGCATGTGTTCTCGGGATAGCCAGTTCTGATTGATCATAGTATGCTGCTCCTGGTAGGTTCTGCTTGTCTTTTTTGCTATAATAAATAATAACATTAATGATAAATTGTTGCTCAAGTGCATGGTACCATATGCTATCTAGAAAATCATTTGTCCACAATGTGTCTTGTATCCACAAATGTTGAAGCAGGAAGAAACTGCCTCCCATTTTAACCTACTTGCTTTAGCGCTCTTTTTCGACTATAACCATGTCCCCTACAGCTGAACGTTGGACTCTCAAATTCTGGGATATAGTCCAACGTGATGAATAAGAAAACTGAAAAGAAACTTAGCTTCTTCGCATCAGTATGGTGTCTTAGTTAATGTTATTCAAATAGTATTCCGAAATTCAGCAAATATCATCAAACTTGTCCATCTTTTGCAGGAGGTAGATCCTTGTGAAAATTTAACTGATGACGACATCCGAACTGCCATTCAAAATGCAACTGGTCCTAAATCTGCTTTATTTGTGCCAGAAGTAGGTTCTTGATGTTAACCCTTTCTTTTGGAAATGCTTTTATTTTGTGCCAGTGGCTGAGTGCTTTCTCCAGTAGCTTCATATAAAATCTATTCTATTTGGTTGGCCTTGCACTTTATATATGTAGGTTCCATTTGAAGTTCTTATCCGAAGACAGATAGCTCGTCTGTTAGATCCAAGTCTTCAGTGTGCACGATTTATTTACGACGAGCTTATAAAAGTATGTCCTTTTGTTGAGAAATGTCTTTGTTTTTTGAGTGTTACGTGTTTGTATTTACTGTTCAACTTGTATTATTTATTCACAGATGAGCCATCGGTGCATGGTTAATGAATTGCAACGATTTCCTATTTTGAGAAAACGGATGGATGAGGTTATAGGTTACTTTTTGCGGGAAGGCCTGGAACCTTCAGAGACTATGATTGGACACATTATTGAGATGGAGGTATGTTGAACCTTTGGCTGTCCTATTGTATACTTCTTTGTACATACATGAACTTGTGTGTAAATTGTGTGTGTGTGCGCATATATACTCTTCTTTATTTCTGTGTACTATGAAGTGAATTTGCTTAATATAGCCCAACCTACTTTTGAGATCCTTGCTATTCTTGAATCGTCTTTTCTTATAGATCATAATCTATTTCACAATTGCTATACTGTCAACAACTTAGGAGAAACCAGAGTTTTAGTATCAAAGACTGTATAACTCAAATAATAAGCTAATGTAATTGACAATAAACAGTAATAGCTGTTAACATTTGTAAGTGCATCAGTGGATTACTTAATCATCACTGCATCCGTTGTTATAGAAAGTTGAAATTTCTTCAACTTAATAATATTTTGTTCTAGATGGATTACATAAACACTTCACATCCGAATTTTGTTGGGGGGAGTAAAGCTGTGGAGATGGCAATGCAGCAGGTCAAGTCCAACAGGATTACTGCACCTGTTCCGAGGCAGAAAGTAAGTACTTGATATGTTGTTTCACAGACTTCAGTGGATCTTTTTCTCTGATCTCACTTAACTAGTCACAAGTTACTGCTTTTATCTCACTGATCAGGATGGAGTGGATTTAGAGAAAGCGCCAGCATCTGAAAGAAGTCTGAAGTCACGTGCTATTCTTGCTAGACATGCTAATGGAATTGTTCCTGATCAGGTATGACTTCTCTTCCTTGTCATTCTGCTGGGTGATTAGTTTGGTGTTTTATTTATTTTCCTGAAGATGAATTGAAAGCATTAAGATTGGCCTGATTATTGTGCTACCTTGTCTGGAAAAGCAGGTTGCTCGGCCTGCTGCAGAAGAGAAAACGACAACATCTGGTATAGCTCCTTCTGGTAACACATGATGCTATGCCATGTGATCTTTACTTGTATTGCAAGTATGCAAGTTATGTTTGGTACACTTTAGTTCGAATGCTACACCATATGATTTTTTTTTCTGCTTTTTAGTATCCATTTCCTTTTCCTCGACTCCTAGTTTCAGATCCAATGTTGCATGTTTTTATTGGCAATGTCCTAATATTTGTTCTTCACAATCAGGATCAAATGTTAGTTCAAGCTGGGGGATATCATCAATATTTGGTGGATCAGACAGTCGTATATCTGTCAAAGACAATCCCATTAGCAAGCCATTCAGTGAACCTATCCAGAGCATGAATCATGCTTTCATCCACTTGAGAGAGGTATGTATTTGAAGGCCCCCTGTAGTCTACGATTACTAGGTATTCAATTTGATGATCATCTTACTTGCGCTTCTCACCTTTTTGAAGCCCCCAAGTGTGCTGAGGCCGTCAGAAACTCATTCGGATCAGGAGACTATTGAAATTGCTGTTACAAAACTGTTATTAAGGTCATATTATGACATTGTCCGGAAAAACATCGAGGACTCAGTACCTAAAGCAATCATGCACTTTCTGGTAATAATGACATCATGATCTTGCGTCTTAACGATCTCTTGCATTGATGTTTTGGCATCTACTTGAGTAGGCTTTCACTGGACTTGTGCTTTTGATAGGGAAGATATTCTGGTTCCATTTCTTGCAAATCTTCAGTAATTTTAGATGAGTACTCTACTACTCTGTACTACGATCTGTTTTATTTTTAAAAAACAATGATAGTGTTCACGCCAGTTTGTGGCTCCTCAATTATTCCACCGTGTACCAGCTTCCTCCCACCAAAACAAGTACCAAGTAAGTTTGTTCACCTAGGCTTAGTCAGATGGGAAGAAATCCCCCAGTGTTTTTTGTTGTCTTTACCAGGATTTGAACCCGAGTCTCCAAAGGTTTGCACCAACTTCATTGACCAGGAGGCCACACCCTTACCCTTGGGTGCTAGGATGTGTTACTTTTTCTGATTTGATAGTGCAACTCTTCCCATAATCTTGTGTATCCATTTCTAGATCCTCCTATCTCCTTAGGCAGGAGATCCGTCTCTTTCAGGTGGAATTTTAAGTACCGTTAAGACGTTGCTGTAGGCTATGTTGTATATATGTGTGATAGTCTATATAAACTGGGAAACAAATAGGAAAGAGTAAATAGTCTTCTTTAAGTTTGAAGGATTTCTTGGTTTTTCTGCCAAAAGTTCAGAGGTTACTGTGCAAGGAAGTGTTCTCTTGTTTTATTTATATGATGTAGTTGCATCAGTGGCAATGTATATATAGATATACAAATTTATGTATGTATTATTCAAGTTCAACCTTCTTGTTTGATAAAAAGTGTCTTCTCTTTTTTTGTTCAGGTCAACCACACAAAACGAGAACTCCACAATGTATTTATCAAGAAACTTTACAGGTATTGTATGAGAGCAAGAAATCCAAGTTTATTTGAAGCCCAAAGTTATTACAGACATCTGCTTATTGATCTTTCGCTAGGGTTCCTTGCTGAATAAAATAGTCCTCACTCAGGAAGTGATTTGGTGGACACACTTTTTGGATGCTGTGATTCTCTATGCTGATAGTACAATATTTTCTTGCTCAACTGCTTAGCTATCTCAAAAATGTTATGGTATGTAGTATATGGTTTAGTTGTGGTTCTTATCAGTTTGCTTACAACATGTCACAGAGACAACCTCCTTGAAGAGATGTTGCAGGAACCTGATGAGGTAGCCTTGAAGAGAAAGCGCACTCGTGAGACACTTCGTGTTCTTCAGCAAGCTTTCAAGGTCAGATATTGGGTTGCTTTATTGAGAATATAGATTATCTACTGAGTTTTTCAGAGAAATGTTAATTACGTATTAATGAACTATTGGTGTTAGCAGGTCTATGTGGGTAGTTGTAGTTTGGTAATTAATGTCTGAATTGTAGATCTTTTGGGGTTTCAATTTTTTTTCTTTGTTCAGGTATTCCAAGTTAGCATGGGTGGATGGTGGTCTCTATGATCTATTTCCGTTCTTAATTGAATCCAAGTAATTGAGATATGAAACTACTACCAAATTGAACAAAACATGGACACAACACACAAGATCCATGAGCTTTTAAAAATTCAGGGGAGCATGATTGATGGGAGATAACAGTTCCAAAAACATTTATAGTGGATTCAGAATCATTCAACATTATGACAGATTAATAAAAAAATTAGTACATAAAAAGAAACCCAAATTTCTCATACTAATTGGTGTTGGGCATTCCTAAAAGTTTAGTCATATTCAGGCGTGTCCCAAGTAGAGGAGTGACTGCTCATTTCCAGCTTTCATTTATTCGACTTTTCTTCAAACAATCCCCACCCACTCAACCCTGTAATAATTGGGTTTACCAGCCAATGAAGATGAATAGTTAGTGGTGTTATCATTCAATTTAACTCGTATGGAAGTTTCTGAAAAAACTGAATACATATGTGGCTCCTTAAACTTGTCTAGATTTTTCATTTATACACCTAAACTAAGGGTTGTACCTATTAAACACTTGAACTTGAGCCAAACTGTGTCTGGTATACACAATGTGCTTTTGTGGCGAAGTGCGTACTTTCCCTCTCCTTTTTAGCGCATTAAAAGCCTTTAAAATAGCTAAATTTTTTGGCTCCTTCCAAATTTCTTCTTCCTTGCCACCACATCTTCTGCCACCCTTACCTTATTTCCATCTATTAGTTTAAAACAAGATGTGGTGGCATTTCACACCGTCTTTCATCAGCATCTCCTTCAAGTTCTACTGGTTTCAGAAACTCCATAACAATTTAGCTGACCTTCTCTCACTAGGATTCTGGTGGTTTCGGGGGAATGAATAAAATAAAATCTAATTCTATAGAGTTACTTGCATTTTACACTCCTATTTTGTGCTTTGCACCCTATCCTATTATTTTTAATGATTTACGCCCTAGTCTCTTTATTTCCTTGCAAAACCATAAAACACTTTTTCTTGAATTAACCCAAAGGAAAATATGGAAAATACCAATTAGAAAAACATGACGCAAAAAGAAATTGGAGCACGTAACTTTTTAGGGTTGTCGTGTTTCATTTCTTATCTTTTCCTTTCTGCCTTGTCAATTCCTATTCACCTCTCCAGGCTCCACACTCTCTTTTGCCCTTATCCTCTTCCCTTCAGAAGTTAAAGTTGAGCGCCATCAATATACCAATGTCTTCCTTGTATCTCTTCTTAGAAGTTGAAATATGACATGGTATCTCTTCATCTGACTTAGAGCAAGGAGGACGTCTCCTTTCCCTTGCCCTTTGTGAAATATTTTGAAATAATTATTTAATTGGAAAGCCTTGGAGCAAAGGTGAAGTTGTCTTCATGTAACCTATAGGTCACGGGTTCGAGCCATGAAAGCAACCACTAATGCTTGAATTAGGACAGGCTATCTGCATCAAGGGTTGTGGCCTTTCCCTGGACCCTGCTTACGCAGGATGTTTTTGCACCGGGCTGCCTTGTGTTTAATTATTTAATTTGGAAAACAAAAATATCTTTGAATTCAAACTCATGATATTAAATTTTAGTAGTAACCCTAGCCGAGATAGGGTGCTGGGTGCTTCACTCAGCTTCAGTAAATTGCGTGAAGGAAAAAACAGTGATTTCACATAATGTAGTCTCTTATCTTAGGGGCTAAACTGACTTTTGTTGTTAATTTGGTGTGCAAGAAGAATTCTGTAAATATGCTGCTGAAGTGCAATATATCTGTGGAAGAAAGAAAGGAATTTCGAAAATTAAATTACTTGGTGTATTCTTTGTATGTGATTATGCTTATAAATAGTTTGTTAGTCACCAAAGTGGATGAACTAAATGACTAAAGGCTGAACCCATTGGGATAAAGTTGACACCAATAGTTGCAACTGTCGTCTCCCGATGGGTTCAGCCATGATTAAAATATGTACATAGATAGAATGTCCATACATGGATATTATGCATGTATTAATGTTTTGTTAGTCACAGTGGCCAAACTACAAGTTTGCCATTTGTCCTTGATACTAGTGAGATGTCTAATTGTCATGATAAATGCATAAGCTGGCATTCCCTATCATTTGAACTTAAGAATTTACCCAAAGGTGAATTAATTATTCTATGATTAGAGTGAACACGAAGGGGCAAATTAAACTTTTATAGTCATATATATTTATACATCCAAAGATACTTACGGTGTTTGATTAAGAATATTTAATTACCTATGAGAAAATACATAAAAAGTTAAAACCCCCATTGAACTATGACCCTTTTTTAAAGACACTTAAACTTTGCGGGGTCCTATTATCCCCAAAACTAATTTAAAGTTAAAGTATTTGGCCCTTTTCCAGTCAATCCCAATTATCACATTCAAATCGTTAAGTGACACGTGTCAGTTTCATTAAAAATAATTTTTGTTTCTTTTATATTTATCTTTTTTTTTTCTCTTGCTTCCACCTATGTCATCTTTATCATCACCACCCTCCATTTTATATCACATATATTATAGGAATTCATTTCAAAAACACCATGGATTTTAGCTTTTTCTCCATGGATTTTAGCTTTTTCATTTTTAAATCAGAAATATATTTTTTTTAAAAGAAAAGAATATAATGCTATGGTGTTTTGAAAGGATCTGGTTGATTTTTGAGGGAAAAAAAGTAGAGAAAAAAATATTTATCTAACCAATTCAAAGAGAAGATTTTACGGAAATGTTTTTGAGAAGAATAAAGAATAGAAAACGAAAAGAGAAAATGGAAGAGAAAGAAAAAAAAATCCTTGAAACCATTCTCGTCGTTCTTCAATGGTGAAGCTTCGAAGGAGAAGAAGAAAAAAGAAAAGAGAAAAAAAAAAGATTTAAACAATAAAATAAAAGGTCATAAATATATTTAACAAATAATATTGCAAAAGAAAAGTTAATCTTATTTTGTTTTAGTTTTCATGCTCTCCAGGAGAGTGATATACACTGTCAGATGCCAAAAAAAGGTTCAATAATTTAATTTTAAATTAGTTTAGGGGTGTATTAGGACCTTTGCACAGTTTGAGTCTCTTTCAAAAACAGGTCATAGTTTAATGGGGTTTCTATGTATTTTCTCATTACCTATTGAGGATAAAATAGTTTTTGTTTAATACCTTTCTTGATTATCTTTTTGAATTGTTCCTTTTTCTGTATTTCTGTTTTGCTTTTAGGGATAAATTAACGAAGGAGCATTTTTATTGTTTTGCAAAGGAATAGAGAGATTATGGTGTAAATCATTAATACGTATTGCATTCTAATTTGTTTCTTGAGCAACTTGAGAGGTGCTTGCACATGCTTAATCTGTTTTGAGAACTGTGCCAGATGTGTCTGATAGGCACACGTTCAGTAGGAACAAGGCTAAGTTCAAAGTATTCAACCTTCTTGAAAGTGACTTTGTATAAATAAAATAAAGATCAATAGGAAACCTCATGCATGCTTTGTCACCTCTGCACTATCTTGATTAATCGCCTTTGCGCATGCATAAAGATGTCTCCTTGTTTTATATGTCACTTCTCCATGGCCAATTTAAAGTCGAGGCTAAAACAAAATTAAAAAACTTAGACTACTATTTATCAAGACACCTCAGAAATTAAATCAAACATTTTCAGAAAATGTAAAGTATTTGGTAAACCAAACCCTTTTAAATGCTTGGGATGTAGACGTTGGAATTAATGTTTTTTGGTATGTGCAGACATTGGATGAGTTGCCACTTGAAGCTGAGTCAGTTGAAAGAGGCTACAGCATAGGTACTGACCCAACAGGCCTACCAAAGATTCATGGTCTTCCAACGTCATCCCTGTATAATTCCAGTGGCTCAACTGATTCATACACTGCTTCTCCTAAAAACCCAAGATCACGCAAATCATCCCATTCTGGTGAACTACAGTCACCAATGTATGCTGGTGCAGATTCAAATGGTGGTGGGCGTAATTCTCTTGGTCTTTATCCAACAGTTGATATGTAGGAGATTTATCAGATGCTTTGGGGACATTTGGAACCTCACCCCATCTGGTGCAGTGAAGAGCCATTCTATATTTGATTTGTTCTGCCACAATGAAGATGTATGACGATTGTTTCGCTTTCCCAATATTCTTTATTTCTATTGTTCAAATAGAATGATTTTGAGCTATGCAAGGAATAATAAGAAGTCGTCTTCAGCAGGCTGCAGGCAATATTTTTGTTTTGTTTTGTTTTGATAATAGCAAGTGTAGCCGGCCGCTCTATTCTAAGTAGTCCCCATTTGCATACAAGTTTCCCAAGGTAGGGAAATGACGGGATTTGTAACTTTGACAAAATAGCTTGTAGCAGCACTGTATATTTTGCACTTATTTAGGAAAAAACATACTTTTCCTTTTCGGTTGCAGGGAATTATTACCCAAATGAGAAAAGTTATTTAAAATGATGTAATTCAAGATTCTAATGTGCTTTGAAGTCTTGTTGATATGTTTTAATGTTATTTTGCAATATATCAGTGCAATAAGAAGTAATCTTTCCTCATGTACTGATGTTCTTTTAGTTTGTTGGTCACTGAAGTGGCCTGACAACAATGTTGGAAATATTGACATGTATGAAGTGATCCAATGTTAATTTATGTCCAACTAGTTTGTTAGTCACAAAAATGATGAAGTTATTATCTTCATAAAAGACACATGCATAAAGTATGTCATTTTCCTTGATATTAATGATGCGTCTAAATTCATAATTGACGTTTTAGTATCATTAGTACTTATGAATCCCAAAGATTATTTAGTTGTTCTGAGTGAACATGAAAGAGCAAATTAAACTTTAATAGTCATTTTGCATTAGTATAAAAAGGAGTCCGGAGCCTAAAGGGCAAAAAAATTTCAAAAGGTCACATCAAATTTTTTTCTAACTAAAAGGGCAAAATTGCTACTGACGTAGCGATTTTGTTTGACACCATTAACAGATCAAAATCGCTGCCTTGTCAGCGATTTTGTCCAACTTTTTTTTTTTTAGAAAATTGCTGCCCGTGCAGTGTTTTTGTGATTTTTTTTATAAAAAAAAAATTAAAATCGTTGCTATGACAGCGTTTTTATAAGAACAAATTTATTTTCTTTTTTTGGAAATCGCTGTCGTTAATGTTTTTTTTTTAAATCGCAGCTGTTGCAGCGTTTTTATAAATTTTGTGGAAATTTTTTTTATTTATTTTTTAGAATTCGCTGCCAATTTGGTGGAACTATTTTGTAGAAATTTTTTTTCTTTGATTTTTTTTAAAAAAAAATTCTGTCAACTTGTCAACATCTAATTGTAAAAAATATATATATATTTTTTAAAATCACTGCCTTGGCAAAGGCAGCGATTTTTTTTTAAAAAAATTCTTTTACAATTAAATATTGACTAGTTGACAGAAATTTCAAAAAAAAAAAAAGAATCAAAAGGAAAAAAAATTCTACCAATGGCAGCAAATTTTTTTTTTAAAAAAATAGTTCCACCAAAATCGCTGTCAAGGCAGCGATTTCTAAAAAAAAAAAAAAATCCACAAAATTTATAATAACGCTGCAACAGCAGCGATTTTTAAAAAAATAAACAATAACAAAAATCGCTGCCGATTTCCAAAAAAAAGAAAATAAATTTTGTTCTTATAAAAACGCTGCGATAGCAGCTATTTTAATTTTTTTTAAAAAAAATTGCAAAAACGCTGCACGGGCAACGATTTTCTAAAAAAAAAAAGTTTGACAAAATTGCTGACAGGGCAGCGATTTTGATCTATTAACGGCGTCAAACAAAATCGCTACGTCAGTAGCGATTTTTCCCTTTTGGTTAGAAAAAAATTTGATGTGTCCTTTTGGAATTTTTGTCAATTTTTTTTGCCCTTTAGGCTCCGGACTCATATAAAAAGGGTAGAGTATAAAGCATTTTGCATTAGTAGGATTTTGGTAATGCCAATGCAATCTATTATGTTTAGTATGTTTGTTTTAAAATGTTTAATTATTTATGAGGATAAAATGTTTCTTTGTTTAATCAATATTATCTTCCTAATTTGTTTAGGAATGATTTTCTAATTTATTAGAACTATCTGCAATGCTTTACAAGGTACTTCAAATTTTCTTTTCTTTTTTCTTTACCTAAGATCGTTAGATTAGCTTTCAAAAATTGTTTGGTTTTTATTTTTCATACTTTTCCTAGTACTGATTGCCTACTGCAGTTAAATCTGGTTATAATAACTACTCGTTATAATAATATTTAATTATAACAGTTCAATTTTTGTTGGAATCAATTTTTCATGATATAGTTTATTTTTATTTTTATATAACATTCTACTTATAATATTAGTGCAATTTATTACAACGATACATTATTTTTATAAAATTATTCCTTTAATAACAATCATACTCAAATATTTTAATAGTATTTTGTAAATTTTCTTATTCCAAGGATAACCTCAGAATCCTAAGCCTAAGAGCATATTAGAGGAGGTTGAGAGAAGTATTTAAAGCTCCCTCTAGAACTCTACTAGCTTGAGTGTCAACTTGTCACGACCAAGGGGTACCCCCTAGACGTAACACGGTGTACTTGACCCCGAAGGGGTCGCATACAAACCCTTAGCATATCATAAACATAAAAGTAATAGAATGATGTGGAATTAATTTTTTTCTTTACGATCGAAGTCTTTCATAAAAGAGAATGGGAGTCTAAACATTGTCTCATCGTCACGCCCCGAGCCTACACCCTGGACGTGGCCGACACTCGAAGACCATTGATGGCCCCAAGCGAACCGTTGGCCTGGCTTACTTAACTCAGCGGAAGACTTAACTCAACAAAATAAACTCAAGCAATAGTTTAAATGATAACATTTTAGCCAAAATGACAACTTATGTCTCAAAACAAAGTATCTGCTAATACATAGCTGAGAGACTCAAAACTAACTCTCTGACTGTCTATGAAACCTCTATAATACTGAGATGGATGTTGGGACAGACCCCACAACATCCTAATAAAGAAAACTAGGAAAGCGAAATAAAAGAGTCCTCCAGAATGCAAGGAGGCTCACCACTGACTCTGGAGTGGTCAACTGGATCAATGGTGCGTTGGATGCTGATCCTGGTTACCTGCGTCTGCATCATAATAAGATGCAGGCCAACTGGCATTAATACATTGAATGTACGAGTATGCGAGTTGGAATGCTAAACCACAACTTAAGCTTGAAAGGAGTACAAAGGAACACTTACCTTGGCTCTGTTTAACTCATGAATAACTGAACTCAATATAAAGCAATAAGACACATGCAATATATATAAAGCTTGTAAAACAGTGTAAACAACTTAGTTCGTTAAAGATAAAGGAATAACAAACTCAACTTTACTTATATATAAAAGTAATATAACTTTAGTGGAAGATTCTTTAACCGACAACCACCACTATGAGCCCTAGTGATGATACAACGTTTTACCTCACGTTGCACAAGGACCATCCTATACCTTGCCTTGATATAAGACCTTACTTAACTTAGTGGATCTACTAGATTAACTTACATGATCATCTAAAAAGTATGACCCGTTAAATCCCATGTTTGGCTACATGGTTTTTATGGAGAGTTGAGTTAATATGAACTCGCGTCCTCAATTCGGTGCTCAATACTACTCCCAAAATATATTTTAGCTCATATGTGTTTTAAACACCTCTTTCTTTAGTTTGAGATAATTGCTCAAAGTTTAGCCCAAAGGCTCTCTTAGAATCGATGTTCCCTTTACTAAAAACTAGCACATAGGCTCTTTTGGAAATCATAGTTCCTTTCTTGCTCAAATGTGAAAACATTTATAAACTTCTTTGGGAATACTTAGTTCCCTAATAACTTTTGAGAAATGAACTCAACTCTTTACTCTTTACTTTACTTGAAACTTGAGCCTTAAAACGAAGTTTAAACGTTTAATAAAGACTCTTGAAAACTTTAAGAAACTTTGCTTTGACTTGCTTTTTAACTTCTAGACTTGACTCTTAATTTCTTTGACTTTGATCTTAACTTTCCTTGAATTGGATTATGGATTCAAGGCTCATGATCTCATGTTTATGGATGATTTCATGATGTTTAGATGTACCTTAGAGTGTTGGAATCAACTTAGAAACATAGGTACATTGTTAAGGAACAAGTATTAAAAGGTGGGGGACGAATGGGGAGAACTGGCATCCCTGGCGCTCTGAGAGGCGCGGGAGCCAGCTCTCAAACTTCAGAGGCTGGGCTGGGGCGCGCTGCCCCAAGGGGTGGACTTCAGAGTCCCTTTTGGGGCGCGCTGGCTGGCTCGACTCCCACCCTTTCCCCAGGTGAACCCCGACTTTTCTCCTTCGGTTTTCATCTCTAAACCCTCTAAACTTCTATGGTTCTTTCTCCAAACACTTAGGATCATTAATACCCTCAATACCCAATATATTTAACTCGGAAAACAACCCGGAAACACCAATCAAATCCACACTAGGCATTCAATTCAACAATGTTCTTCAAGAACTTCACTTTCTTAACATTCAAATAACTCCAAATAGCTGAATTGAAATAAGTTGGTGTATGGGTGAACTAAACCAACACGAAAAGATCTCACATACCTTATTAGAGATCAGCCCCGACGAATTCCACTCACAAGCTTGGATGATTTTGGTGAATTCTTGCCTTCTTCTCCTGTTCTTTCTTTCTTTCTCTCTTCTCCAAGCCCTAAGCGTATTCTAATTTTTCAAAATTGAATTAAGTTCTATTTTTACCCCAATAAATCCCTAAAAACGAATTAGGAAATAAATTAGAGAAAAGACTACTTTGCCCTTCCCTAAATCCGGATTGGGACTTTTCTCAATCCAACAATCCAACTTCCGAAAGGCATATCTCACTCATACGACGTCGAAATTGCGCAATCTCGGCGGCGTCGGAAAGATCACTTCAAGGGCTTTCCAACTATATCAACAACTGCTCCTAAATCATCCTGAGCTAGGAGTTATGGCCGTTTTAAAATGGCCAAAACTCACTTTCTTAACTTAGACAAAATTTTCCAAATTTCCTTATTCTTCCCAAAAATCATTATTTTCAAATTTTAAACTCTTTCTAGTCGTATCTAGGTGCTAGATGTTACAATATCTCCCCCTTGGGAACATTCGTCCTTGAATGAGCTTTATTTCACTAAGCTAAGGGGTAGTAACATCAAGTTCAACACTCAACAAGCAAAAAGCAAG